AGATATGTTGAACAGCAATTAGGTTTGATAAGTTTTGTTCCGTGACAGATTTCGTACAAGATGATGGAGACTGATTTAGTGACGAAGCACGTTCGGAAGCAAGTGATATTTCGTTTCTGATGAAGTCAATCCACCGTGTGTAATGTTCATGTAGATTGCTACTCATGAAATCAATATTGAAAACATTGACTACAACGCAAGTTGCAATAGCTAAACCAATTGGGGAATTTTCGAAATGACGTTCATGGCCTTCGTCAGTATTACTGATATGTTGTTGATGCCAAATTGCTAAAGTTACAGCCAAAGTAAAAATCCAATCAGGTTGGGGTGTGTGTTGCGGAAGAGGAATATTCAACTGACTGCTTACTATTTCATCAACTGAATTACTTTTATTTGAATTCATAAGAGGACTAATTGTGAGAGGGAGCTCGGTTAACATATCATCACCGACCCATGTGTACTCAGTTATATTTGGATTTAGTTCTACACCTGCACAGTGCTCTACTCCGTAAAGAATTCGGTAAACAAGTAGGCGTAAATTGACGGAGTAAGCATGAACTGACAGAAACGGCTTTCTAATGGAGTGGTGTAAAATATCAATAATAGCTGGAGAAAGTTTAACCTTTCGATATAGTTCTGTCAAATTACGAGGCCAATCATGAGTAAAATTGAACTTTATTGGCTGTTTGGCGTTGAGTTGATTGGTCAGACGATCCATATGTTGTGAGCTTACTGGAGCATTAGTTTCTTCACTAATCTCAATTAGCCTACCACCCTTAGGTACATTGGAACTGGAGTTTACTAAACAAAAGTGAGATGCTATTTCAAGTCCATTTTCTAGAACATTATCCATAAAAACCGCAATACAATCCAGAAGATACTCAGTCACACTTTTTCGTTCTTCAGTACGATGTGCTTGAATAACATACTCATAAAGTGTAACATAATTTACATTGGATGAATTTATCAACCAGTTAACTAGAACAAACCATTCATGTAAACGAGGACTAGGGTAGTTGGAGTAATCTGTCGTACTATAGTTTAACTGCTTACACACATTAGCACGTACCTCAAATCGCCCAGCATACAGTACACTTAATAAAGGTCGTAAATGGGGTACAACTGACGAAATACGAGAAAACTTTTGGTGGAAAACATGAGACAAAATAATACCATTTGACAGAAACTGTCATTCGCCCATGATTTCGTGATTCCCAAAGTAGAAAAACATCTTAGCTGTTCATATTACTTAGGAATACTTCAATTCTTCAATAAACTAACTTTAAAGTTTCCATATTTGATAAAATAGTCATCACCAAATAAAAAAGTCCAGGTAAAACTAAGACATCTAACCTACAAATTATCCGCATTACTAGGAGTGATTAGCCCATTAAGGAATTCGAAATGAATTTTAATTAGATTAATTTATAATTATCATCGGAATAATAAGTGAAGATTAACTGGACATTCAGATGGTTAATTCTTATTACTTCATCCCGGGATTTTACTAAACTAAGCAACAAATGAATGAATTATTGGTTGTCGTTAAGTTTTTACGTTTCAGACAGACGATGACAAGTTTAATCTCATTTTAAAAAAAAACGGGCTAGATTTTACACACTATTCAGTCAGTAGCTGAAAGTTCGTGAGCTCGAAAGTTACCAGAGACTAGTTAAACTAGGTGACATTTACTCTTTTTATGAAGATAAACAGTAAATTCAAAGAACATGTCAGAAGGTAACAAGATTCAGTCTTTGGATTTAGTTGTATTATTGAAAACGAAGTTATGAAAAAGCTTATGAATACAACCAATAACAAGGCACATATGGTGAGAGATTGATCGGAATTCGGTGGCGACTATAGGGAACACAAGACAACTTTACAGACTAACGAAAGAAACTGGAATTAATAAGTCAAGTGTAAGTGAGATTATATCGGAAAAAGACGATACTCTCATCTATTCCCAGTCCAGATGTTTAGAACGATGGGCGCAACACTTCAGGGAACAGTTCAGCTGGCCTTCAGCTACTCTACAACTACCCTCCATTCCCAGACAGCGTGAATGGAACATTGAAGTAGGTCCCCCAACTCTTGCTGAAGTTCAAAAGGCTATAGATAATCTGAAACGAGGAAGGGCAGCTGGTCCAGATGGACTGGTTCTAGAAGTCTTTAAGGATGGTGGTCCAATTTTAGCCATTAGGTTGACTAATATTTTAGCTAAGATCTGGGAGTTAGACGTTATTCCATCTGACTGGTCACAATCACTTATCGTCCCAATATATAAGAAAGGGTCAAAATCATCCTGTGACAACCACAGAGGGATTAGTTTAACTAATATAATATCTAAAATACTAGCCTCGATAATTATCAGACGCCTAACTAAGACTCGTGAACTGCAAACACAAGAAAACCAAGCTGGCTTCAGACCTGGTCGTGGCTGCATCGACCACATATTCACCATTCGTCAGGTTCTAGAACATAAGCATACTTATCGGCGTCCGAAAATGGTGGTCTTTCTTGACTTAAAAGCAGCATTTGACTCGGTAGACCACGAGGTTCTGTGGCAGTGTCTGTCATTGAAAGGCGTACCTCAGAAGTACATAAACCTTGTAAAGGCTCTTTACTCGAACACTACTAGTCGAGTGAGAGCTTATGGCGAACTGTCATCTACTTTTGCAACCTCAAGTGGTGTCCGTCAGGGATTTCCACTTTCCCCATTTTTGTTTAACTTCATCATAGACCTACTGATGGAAATAACTGTCAACTGAGTTCTCGGGTATTGATCTCCATCCAGGAGGTCCACTTAACAACTTAGAATACGCAGATGACATAGTCCTGTTTGGTGAAGACGCTGACAAAATGCAGAGTCTTCTGGTAGCACTGAGCAACAATGCCAGGATGTTTGGAATGCGCTTCTCTCCCTCGAAATGCAAGTTGTTGCTTCAGGACGGGTCTGTGTTAACACCTGAACTAGGGATAGGGAGTGAAGTAGTCGAACGCGTTGACAACTTCACTTATCTTGGAAGTCTGATCAGCCCTAATGGGTTGGTATCGGACGAAATCTCAGCACGGATTCGAAAAGCTCGTTCGGCTTTTGCCAACTTACGTCACCTGTGGCGAAGGCGAGATATCCGTCTATCAATAAAAGGACGAGTATACTGCGCGGCAGTCCGTTCTGTTTTAATTTACGGCAGCAAAACATGGCCATTAAGAGTAGAAGACACTCGTAAGCTACTAGTATTTGACCACAGATGCCTAAGAAATATTGCTGGCGTCTGCTGGGATAATCGGGTAAGTAATAGTGAGGTTAGACGTAGGGTATTAGGAAATGATGGTAAATCAGTTGACGAGGTTATGAATCTTCATCGACTGAGATGGTTGGGCCACGTGTTACGTATGCCTGAACACCGATTACCACGACGTGCAATGCTATCCGGTATTGGAAATGGTTGGAAGAAAGTTAGGGGCGGCCAAACCAAAACGTGGCATCAGTGCTTGAAGTCACTAACTTCTAGTCTGAGCCATGTTGGTAGATGCAGACTACTTGGTTGGGGTCTGCGTGACTATCGTAACCAATGGTTGGAGACTCTTGGTGACATGGCTCAGAATCGGTCACAATGGCGTCGGTGTATACACTCCCTGTCTTCCCTTAAACTAAGAGATTAAAAGCGCTTCATATCTTTCTTTCTACGAACCAATTCTTTCTTCTTGTACTATATCTCTATATGCAATCTTTCTCTTATATATTACCACCTTTTACCTAACCACTGTTATGAATCCGGTGTTCATCTTGTTGCGCTGATGCGGTATGGCAACCTGGACTGATGCACATATGTGCCTGGTCCTACGTTGTAGCTGACTGACTGACTGCTAAATATCAACGAAGGAAAACACAAACCTACGAAGAGTATTTTTTAAAATGGTTTCATTTTTAGGATCAAATGTGGTATAGTACCTGTCTTACCGGTACGTCTGTTTACGGTTAATTTTGTCGACGCCTTCTATTAACTTATTCAATAGAAAGTGTTATTCGGACAGTAACAATTTGTCTATTTCTTTGTATTATTTTTATTATCATGTTTATATAATCAGGTATGCTTGATAACACGTGATGGCGTACGCACATAACTCTCTCCTAATTAGTTAAATATCGCTCAATGAAACATTCGTTTTCCCAAACATATATATGTGTGCGTGAGTCGTATTAACTGATTCGACTCTGTATTCTCTTGGTCGCGTGCACTAGCCCTTCTGCTCAAATTCGCTTGATGTGCTTGTAGCTTTGTTATCTGCGCTATCCCATAACAATAAACTGTAGTCGGCGCCTTGTGTCACCTTCTGAATTTACACACCGTTGATATTTATTTAATAACGGTTATCAGAGTGATTGATAAATTAAGCCTATGGAGTTATCTCGAAGCCAAGTCACTCTGTAATAACAAAACTATTGCAAAGTTTTGTGCAGATAATTCTGTACGGGATACAAAAAAAATACAGTATTTGATGTTTATTATCAATCCAGATTGCTAACTTACAGTATCTAGTGAATTGGTATCCAGACAAGCGAAACAAACAATCAGTCAGGCACACAGATACACATAAGCCCAAATCGTCACTACATATCAGCACAGTGAGACGAAATCAACAAGACCAACAACAAAAGAGTATAATAGTAGTAATACCAATGATACTAAGAGATATTAGATATCAGAAATTATGGTTCGAAAAGTGAAAAATTAGAGGAAGATAAAAAAAGAAGTGACCAGGTACTTTTCGGACTACACCTTTCAGACTAGGGATACCTCTGGATGAGTATAGGTAAGGTCTATAGAAGTGACTTAGCAACACATAACTGTTTTCTGTGATACTTAATCATATCTTCTATCTATAACAAATAGTTTAGGACAACTTAACATGTTATAGACCTAAATATATCTCAGATATTGTCAACTATAGCGAGGTATTTGTTCCGACGAAATGATAATAATATATAAACTTACAGATAAAATTTTCACCGAAGTATCTCCCAAAACCAAATGGAGAACAGTATTACCATCCTCATCTTTTTCAGTTGCCTTGATATTATCCATAGTTACTAAAGACTGAACTGTCTCTTCATCATTCTCTTTGATTGCGACTCGTAGTGGAGTTAGACCAGAAAGAGGATCATATTCATTTAAAAGACTGAAATGCGAAATTGATTGGCTGACAAGATTCCATAAACCTACCCCTTTACTGACTCGCTTAAGAAAACCTCACGCCAAGACATCGCTGCAGCTACATGAGCAGCTGACCAGCCACACTGGTTTCGACAGTGCGCAGTTATTTTCTCCAAATATGTGCGATCAATGGATAAACTCATGTTCATACAGGCTAAATGCAGAGGATCCAAAACTTCTATGTATCTTAAAAATACAGCGACGCCTGCTTCTTGTTCGCCTTGAAATCTAAATAAACTAGACAAATTTAAGAGTGAATAACATTTTGAATAAATGAAAGTAGATAAACACCTGTAAGCATAGACAGTCTCTCCATTGACTGGAATGCCAACTGATCCAGGTAAGTAAACCATATCAAAATGATTTGCCACTTTGTAGAAATAATAAGTTGACTTTTGTTGTAGTAACTGTTCACAACTAGGGATAATTTTTAAGTATATGAATATTTAAAATGAACTCACTTTTCATATTCAGATTCGTATTGGCTTAAAGTATAAGGTGTTACTTTATTAGGGGAAATAGACGAAACAGCTGTTTTGACAAAATTACTAACATATTTTCCGAATGAAGTCATAATTTTCGAGTCAGAAGACCAATCATATACCACTTATCTATGACTAGAGTATGGTACAGCTTCTGTTTTCATCAAAAAAATACTGACAACAAAAAACAGGAAAATAGACAAGGATTAGTGAACAACCGCAGTGGAAGTAATGGAAAATAAGACACAAGTAATATGTATGTCGTTTTGACAATTATAGTAAGCAGTTATAAGACTTTTACGGGAACAAATAACCAAAAATGTGACAAAGAATCAGAAGAATACGATAAATTTATCCAGAAACGAAGTGACAAAATGCATGTGTTTGTATATTATCAGAATCTTTTAGCAAGCGCAAGGATTAATGACACTACATAGTTATAATACAGACACCAAGCACCTAAATACAACTTGAGAGGAAGTCAATATTTACTTAGGATGAACGATTTTAACACTAACTTATACATTATGAATTTTGTCTATGAACTTTCAATGCATTTTTCACCATAATTGGTTTATTGAGAACTACTATGTTCATAAACTGTAGCTATCTTAGTCGATGTTCAACTGGTTATCCCAAATGTATTTTAAAATCTACTGTAGCCATCGTTGACGACTTTTTGCTCTAGATAGCGGAGCGAAGTGAATGGGAGTAGTACCGTTCACTGTATTTATTAGTAGGAGTGAAGAAATATCACACCACCGCCCGATATCAGATAGCTAGGACTGACAAATAAACTGAAATCCAAAACTGTATGCTATCTATTAGAATTTAAATACGTGAATGGACCAGATACGGTTACAAAATATCAAGTAAAAATTGTACGAAGATTTGAAATTTTCGGAAGATCATGAAGATGGACGAGGATCAGAGTACATGAAAGAAAATGAATACATTGCTTCACCTACAAACTATGATGTGGCAAAGGCAACAACTACTCCATCTTTTTCAAAAATGCATTGACAGAAAATGCTTTAAAACAGGTAGCCCGTTTGACTAAAATAGTATGTGTACATAACGAGATAAACTCGTGTTTTACACATATATAAATAAGAAAATGGAGGGTAAGCGAGCAATAAGTTGGAGTACATCCTGAAAATTGTTAGTTAACAAGTAAAAACAAAAATCACAGTACTACGTTAAAGTAACTGGTAATATCGTTTCCGAAAAACGATACTATGAGAACCATGTATCGAGTGACGAAACCATTCGTCCATTCAGAACTCGGTATTACTGTCTTGAAAAGTGAAGCAGTGCTCTTACTACACGTAAACAGATACATGAAGTTACTAGATACGCTTCCAATGTAAAGATTAAAGGCATCAGTTCTCTGTGCCAAGGGTAGTGGAGTGGCGTTTAAATGTCTTATTACTGTAAGGTTGAAGTGTGCAGAGGCATGCGAACTCCCTAATTCAAGAAATTACAGTAGATACATAATTATACGGGGTTCTGTTTTAGGTACGACCGACTAGGAATGACTTCATGAGTTTGAGGAAAATTTGTTAGATACATAGGAATGGATTTAGTATTTTCTATACACAAAGATCATGTTGAATCGCATACTTGAAATAAAAAGCGGTAATAAGGTCCATCAAATCTGGGGAAAAGAGGACTTTCATGATATTGGATCTAACTACTCATCGCTGAATGCTCTCAGGAGGTAAACCAAGGCTACGGAATCACGTTAACTTCAGCCGATATTTACTAAGTTGCTAAGGCTACCAAATGTATGCATAGCAGATGTGCTTTTTTACTGTTTTCACAATGTACACAACTATTCTAATTGAATACCTGAGCGAAAATAAGAAACTAAGAAAATTTGTATTCTACTGATCAAAAGAATAAGCATTGACTATATTCTTCGGCAGAAACTATTAGCATTAGGGCAAAATTTACCTACGTAGATAAAAGAAGAGGTTTATACACTAGAATCCCAATACACTATACATTAAACGACGACATCTCTTTGATTTATATATTTTTTGGGAGAAAAACATGTTCTGACACAGAACAATGCGAAGGCTGGAAATATTTACCCGGAAACGCACCCTGCATAACCTATGAACACATCACATATTATTTTACTTCAATACAGGATTATTGTACGCAAATTATCACACTAATATTTAACCCGAGATCAGAACAACAGTTTACACAACAGATGTTTCAAATGGTTTACGCAGACCTAATCTAGTTCACAGATGGAAACTAAACGAAAAGAAAGTGACAGAGACTTTTCGTGTGTATTATTGCTCGTACTCTTTCTTTACGAGGCCAGTAATACCAGACAGTAAACCAATTTACAGGTAATATTTTGAGTGGAGCGCATTGATTAAGACTAAGGTTATTAACGAACCATTGACTTATTACAACAACGGCATTTCTGAGAAACTCATATGAAAAGTTAAAAGTAGACGACGAAGCGTTTCACGTCTAGACACAGAGGAACATACAAAGTTGAGTGAGTGAGGAGGAGTGTGAAACAGGAGAACAAAAAAAAGTTGAGTCAAAGACCCAGCAAGCGCACATAGCACACTTACACCTACTACGGAAAGTGACTAACAACACTAAAAAACAACACAGTTCTCATATTAAGACAATCTGGAGATCAAAACCAGAAGCCGATAGTTTTATTTAAGTCATCTGTAAGATTTGCTAATGATGATAGTAGCAACGATCGTTGTCAGGATGTTAAGTAAATTCTTTATACAGAGCACGATATGGAATACAATAGCCTTAATTTCCCAAAGCGATTAGTTTCATACGTAGTTCCATTCCTTCTAATCACACAACCTTCACAGCTGAAAATATGATAACCGAGAAAATGCATATTTAACATTAACACGAAGTTAAGGTCAACAATGGAGTAGGTGGGAAGTATTAATTCGATTCAATCGCACGGCGTGGCTCAGCCTCTCAAACGTGGTCATTCTATATAACTAGTCTTTATTGACATTAAATATATTCTCATCGTCATCCTAAATGTCTTCTTCACAAGTACTAAGTACCATACTGTTAATTGTTACGGTACGATAAGTCAGTGTTGACAATAATCTGACTTCCACATAGGATCCTATAGATTCGGTAGCTACATCACGAAAAACCTATGCTTTAAGGGCTAGGTCTATTTCTTTTAGTAGTACTAACAACAAAGTAGACCATAATTCTACACGTACACTAAACGAAGGACAAAATGACGTGACGTATTTGCTTTATTATTCAGATCAGATTGAGGTTTGCATATTGAGAACAGAAGGCCTACGGTCTGTGCTATTCCTTCTATTGTAAGCTTCTGATTATCTAGTCTCCTTTTGAATGAGCCAGTTGAAGGGGTATATATCAATTCTTCAGATAACAGTTTCCAAGTATTGATGATTTGGCGTGAAAGCCTGATCGCCACATGTATTTTGTTAGTTCTTGTCATTTTGCTCGCTCGGTATGTCCGTCGAGTTGCTCAAATCTGTTGGGAGAAGAAATGCCGGATATATCACGTTTAAAATTATTTCTTAATATCCTATACATCACCATCAGAAAACTCCTAAAGTTTCGGCAGGACAGAATCATTGTCTAGCTTCTCATGCTGCTCTTAACTGCGACCGTGTGTTTAAATCGTGGTCACACTGTTACCTAAAAATCGTTGTGTTACTGGATTGTGGCATACGACACTTCTACCATTCACCTATTATCCGCAATGTGAATGAACATGCTTGATCGAGTTGTTGTGTATCGCCCATTTTTTAGAGCCTCTGATCCAATTATCTAAGTTCACCTAAAGTCTATATCCATCTATATATATGTTATTTTTCCCAAGATATTTATTTAATCAGTTAATAGTGACATCAGAGACTTAACCTTACTTGTGCGTTTGTGATGACTTAGGTTTGAAGATTCCATAGGTATTTGGAGTTTGACAACGCTTTAACCAGCAATACCTTCTAATATGAAGCTTACCCACCAAATGAAATCAGAAGACAGAATTGAAGAGGTTTGAATATATATTTGACAGGCTATCAATATATCGTGGATGGAATGATCTAGAGTGGCTAGCGATTGCAGGTGATTTTGAGCACAGCGTCCCTATTCGTGATGAATGACAGAGCACCTTCAGCTAGCTGAGTTCATTAAAACATGTGGTCAGCATCCAATGTTGAAGACTTACAGAGCTATTTATTTTGGGGATTTATTACATCTGCAATCGTTTCCACTTATTCAGGTTCCTAAGAAGTTGTAATAGCGATAAGAAAACTCAGAGATTTTTATGGCCATGTAAAAATCAAAACGTAAACAATTCGAAGGGTAAAGAATAATTGCCTAAAGAAAAGTACAGTGTATTGAGGTCTGTTTTGTTTAAGTTTATCGAATTGACTCAGTAATCCCTTGCATGTACACAGTGGCGGCATAAAGTATTTTTTCTACTATTTTGCTTGTCCTATGGTTTATATTTTGTCTAAGCTGCTATAATGTTTTTCACACATAGTTCAAAATTCTTCTCTCCAGCATATCACCGTATTTATATCTCTAGTACTAGTGGCCGAAAATAACAATTCAGCCTTTGATCAGGAGTTGAAAAGTAAACATTTCTGTGTGTATTTAGACGAAAAGTAGACAATTCAGCAACATTTGAAACATCGACTTAAAAGGAAAAAAACAGACATTTTGGCACGTTTCCCCTTCATTTCCCTTTTGTTCGCGCTCTATTTAAAAGGACAGTGGTATTGTTTCTCGTTGAGTTAATTAACTGTTTTGATCGTAAATTACGCATCGGAACTACAGTTTACACTTTAATTGCATCTACCCCAGTTGAAGTGATAGTATATTGAGTGTTTCGGTTTTGCTTTTGTATATTTATTGCATCGAAGCATTCTTGGTCGACTTTTACTTGATTCATTTAGTTAAGGTTTGAGAATTCTTTTACATATCCTGTTTTTGTCACTGTTCTAGTTGATTTTCAAGATGGCTAGATCTGCTCATAAATTTGGACAACCATATTGCTTATTTCCCGTGGAGGAAGGGATGCAATGTGATGAGTGTAATAAGTGGTTCCATAAGATGTGCATCCGATTAAGCCGCACTGCATATAAAAGGTGCTCAAAGCCCAACTCTCATTGGCTTTGTAGTTTTTGTT